CTAGAACTGAACTAGACTAACTAGAACTGAACTAGAACTGAACTAGAACTGAACTAGAACTGAACTAGAACTGAACTAGAACTGAACTAGAACTGAACTAGAACTGAACTAGAACTGAACTAGAACTGAACTAGAACTGAACTAGAACTGAACTAGAACTGAAACTAGAACTGAACTAGAACTGAACTAGAACTGAACTAGAACTGAACTAGAACTGAACTAGAACTAGAACTGAACTAGAACTGAACTAGAACTGAACTAGAACTGAACTAGAACTGAACTAGAACTGAACTAGAACTGAACTAGAACTGAACTAGAACTGAACTAGAACTGAACTAGAACTGAACTAGAACTGAACTAGAACTGAACTAGAACTGAACTAGAACTGAACTAGAACTGAACTAGAACTGAACTAGAACTGAACTAGAACTGAACTGAACTAGAACTGAACTGAACTAGAACTGAACTAGAACTGAACTAGAACTGAACTAGAACTGAACTAGAACTGAACTAGAACTGAACTAGAACTGAACTAGAACTGAACTAGAACTGAACTAAACTGACTAGAACTGAACTAGAACTGAACTAGAACTGAACTAACTGAACTAGAACTGAACTAGAACTGAACTAGAACTGAACTAGAACTGAACTAGAACTGAACTAGAACTGAAAGAACTAAACTGAACTGAACTAGAACTGAACTAGGACTGAACTAGAACTGAACTGAAACTAGAACTGAACTAGAACTGAACTAGAACTGAAACTAGAACTGAACTAGAATGAACTAGAACTGAACTAAACTGAACTAGAAATGAACTGAACTAGAAATGAACTGAACTAGAACTGAACTAAAACTGACTTGAAACTGAATTTGAAATGAACTAGAACTGAACTTGATATCTTAACGTAAGATTCTGCATTGGTTTATACACCATAAAAAGAACTAGTTATTTTCGTCGAGTGTCATCACTCACTTTCCTCACCATTCATAAATAACAGTTATTTTCGCCTCAGATACTTTTGATATAAACAAATTTATTAAAATATAAATAAAAACGCAAAACAGGACTACTGTATAAAAAGGATTTATACGAAATAAAATACCTTGTCCATCTTAATATGTATTTATTATATTCCACATAAATTTCAATATTTTAAATTCTTTATGATTTACAAGGTATTTCAGTATTTCACTGACAAATAACCGGTTACTTTTGACTTCTTTTTTACAAAAGTTAAGTGTTGTTAAATGATAAGAGAGCCAGTATTTGTGGAGCCATCAACATCATTATCATCTTCTGCTTCGTCTTCAGCTTCAACATTGTCGTCGTCATAATTTAATGTTTTATTTCATATTTTTATGAATAGTTCTTTCTTTTTTTCTTACCTTTCTCATCTTCTTGGGCTTTAGTGATGAAAATGTCTGTGTCTTTATGTTGGATTGTACAATTATTTTATTGGGTGTATTATGTTTTAGTTTATTTGGTTTGCAGTAATTCTTTATTAGTCAGCCTTATTGGTAGTGTGGCTGGATGTTTGATTAGCCTGTTCGGTTGTTTACTTGTATCTCACCATTTTGTGGTACTAATTAACTTTAACTTGTCATAATTGTCAAAAAATTATCGGTAGACTCAATCGCTTCAGTTGGGTGCTCTTATCAGTAAAATATTTTGTTGTATATTTGTTTTTTTATATAAGATTTTCATTATTTCATTCATTTCATCTGCATTTGGTTACAACTACGCCATTCTCATTAATAAATTTTTATATGTTTTTGCATTAATTTTTCACACCTTATTTCCATGTGTTGAGTTGTAAACGTGTTTTGCAGAATAATATTAATACTATTTGTCTATTAGAACATTTTATTTCAGTTAAAATTCTCAAATGTTTAGCTTTAAAAATTAAAATACTGAAATAATTAAATGGGAAAAATTTAAAGTTTCATTCCAATGTTAATAGAACGATCACTCAATGCTTTCTTATATATAGACTCTATATATATAGACTAGACTAGAGTATAAGACTAGACTATAGACTAGACTATAGACTAGACTATAGACTAGACTATAGACTAGACTAAAGACTAGACTATAGACTAGACAATAGACTAGACTATAGACTAGACTATAGACTAGACTATAGACTAGACTATAGACTAGACTATAGACTAGACTATAGACTAGACTATAGACTAGACTATAGACTAGACTATAGACTAGACTATAGACTAGACTATAGACTAGACTATAGACTAGACTATAGACTAGACTATAGACTAGACTATAGACTAGACTATAGACTAGACTATAGACTAGACTATAGACTAGACTATAGACTAGACTATAGACTAGACTATAGACTAGACTATAGACTAGACTATAGACTAGACTATAGACTAGACTATAGACTAGACTATAGACTACTATAGACTAGACTATAGACTAGACTATAGACTAGACTATAGACTAGACTATAGACTAGACTATAGACTAGACTATAGACTAGACTATAGACTAGACTATATACTAGACTATAGACTAGACTATAGACTAGACTATAGACTAGACTATAGACTAGACTATAGACTAGACTATAGACTAGACTATAGACTAGACTATAGACTAGACTATAGACTAGACTATAGACTAGACTATAGACTAGACTATAGACTAGACTATAGACTAGACTATAGACTAGACTAGACTAGACTATAGACTAGACTATAGACGACTATAGACTAGATATAGACGTAGACTATAGACTAGACTATAGCTAGACTATAGACTAGACTATAGACTAGACTATAGACTAGACTATAGACTAGACTATAGACTAGAACTATAGGACTAGGACCTATAGACTAGACTATAGACTAGACTATAGACTAGACTCTAGGACTAGACTATAGACTAGACTATAGACTAGACTATAGACTAGACTATAGACTAGACTATAGACTAGACTATAGACTAGACTATAGACTAGACTAATGACTAGACTATAGACTAGACTATAGACTAGACTATAGACTAGACTATAGACTAGACTATAGAACATAGACTATAGGACTAGACTATAGACTAGACTATAGACTAGACTATAGGCACACTAGACTATAGACTTGACTATAGACTAGACTATAAAAGGACTATAGAGTAGATATGACTAGACTATAGACTCGACTTATATACTAGGACTATAGACCTAGACATAGCTAGACTATGACTAGACTATAGACTAGACTATAGACTGAGATCTATAGACTAGGGACTATAGAATAGACTATAGACTAGACTATAGATAGACTATAGACTAGATATAGACTCGACTATAGATAGACTATGAATAGACGACTAGACTATATAGCTAGACTATAGACTAGACTATAGACTAGACTATAGACTAGACTATAGACTAGACTATAGACTAGACTATAGACTAGACTATAGACTAGACTATAGACTAGACTATAGACTAGACTATAGACTAGACTATAGACTAGACTATAGACTAGACTATAGACTAGACTATAGACTTATTTGTAGTATAACGCTCGCTTGCATATAAGGCGTAAGTAGGTACTTACAAGTAGGGTGTTGCAAAAAAAATGTATCACACAAAATACGAACCGGGGCCTCTAGTTCGTTATTATTTTATTGTTTGTCATATAGTGGTTTTAGAAGTGAACTTAAAAATAATGCAGAATTCAGGTTAGTGCAATTGATTACCGAGTAATAACTTTGCTAGGTATATACTTTCTTCTTGGTGTTACACCCTCCATCACCATCCATATAAAAATTAATATAACGTATACGTCACATATTACCAAATATATAATAAAGTGAGGACGTTTTACCATGAGATGTTAAATATATACGAATGATAAAATCAATATTTTTCTTTTAAAAATCGACTTCATTATTTTTGTTTTTTAATAAAACAACATTTCTATTCTTTCTCAATTTGATATTTTCAGTTTGAATACATTTATTTTTCTTTATATGATAAGTTCTTCTTTTTTTAATAATATTTTTTGTTAGTTTTTTCTCATAATTTTTTTTTTTTTTTGCATACAAATATTTTATATTGTTAAATACTAATTTACTATCAGTCTACTTTAAAAAATGTGATTATTTATTTTGTTTACTATTATAAGTATAATTGGGTTAATCGGTTTTGTCTTAATAACACATAGAAACTTTAGCAATATGTTGTGATTTTTTGGTAATAATTTTAGGTGATTTTAAACTGATTTCAAAGCAAATGTTTTGTTTGTTTTTATGAAAAAAAAAACACTATAACTAAAACTTAATAAGCAAATAAACTAAAAGAATTAAATTCTTTAGTTACAACCCTTTTAGCAGATTGTGTGTGTTTTTTTATTTTAATGTAAAAACATGTTTAAGTTATTTATAAAATTAACTTGAAAAAATTATTAAGGAAATACAAATTTTTACAATTTTATTTTGTTAGTTTAGAGCAACAAATTAAGACTTAATTTTAAAATTAGTAAAGGTATAAATATATATATTTAAATGAAAAATTTAAAGTGCTAGAAATTAGTGTTTGAAATACATATGGGTGTGTTTTTTCTTGTTGCTAAATTGTTGTAGTTAAAACATCACAAATGTTTAATTTAATTTTTTTCATTACATTTAAAATATAAAATTTTGTTTTGGAAAATTTTCTTGGGTTTTTTAAAAAATTGTTTTATTTTTGATTCAAAAGGAGTTTTTATTCATATTTTGTTAAGTTTAAATACAAATAGATTTTGGGGGTTATTGATATAATTTAATAAAATTTGTTAAAAATCTATACTGAACTGGAATATTGTTTAATTTATTTTGTTTGGTTAAAATAACAGTCTGGCTTTAAGTTTTGTTAAATTTATTTTTTGAGTTTTTATTATTGTTTGGAAAAGGGATTAAAAATTGTTTAAGTCTTTTTTTCTAAGGAGCCAATGATGATCATTCTATATATGATAATATGTTTGATTATTTTTTTTTTTTTTTTTTTTTTTTTCTAATTAAATGTCGTTAATATTGTTGTTTGTTTGTGTTTTTGTGGTGTTTTAAAAATTGACAGTTTAAATATTTGAATTTTTTTTTTCATATGGTTTATACTGGAACACTACCATCTTTACTAAATCTTAATAATAATGATTAATTAGTTATTATCTTTTGCCTTTAAAATATTAATTAGTTGTTTGCCTTAATAAAAAATATTGTTAAATTTTCTTTTTGCTTTCTTTCTGCTTCGCTCAATATTGTATCGCTTTTAAATTTTATTATTTGCATGACCATTATGATGTTGTTGTTGTTGCTGCTGCTGCTGCTGTTGTTGTTGTTGCTGATGGACTTTGTTAATAACCACATTCATATCAACGATAACAGCATCCGGTATAGTACAATTACTATCCAATTCAGTTTGTCCTTCTAAACTGACATGACCATTTGGAGTACTAATGGGAATTTCCTGTACGCGCCAACACACACATAGAAACGCAAAATGTCAAATGTAAAAAAATGTAAACAAAAAACATTATTAGTAAATCCAACATTTCTTAGGGATTTAGATTATTTCAATAATTAGAGAAATACTGTTGATTCTAAGGCACCTCTAGCTTGTTACGTTTATCTGTAAGCGGTATACGTTTTTAGTGAATTACAGAATATTATTCTGTTGAAGATTTTATTTAATTTTTTATTTCATCAAAAAATACTTCACTTTTTTTAAATTGTTTTTTCAAGTTTAAAAAACACTTCAAATATTACCTGATAGAGTACAGCAGCATCGAGTGCCATTAATTCTTTACGTGAAAGTTCCTCAACGACTGCAGCAGTATAACAATCTCCCAGCATATTATTTGTAGTACGTATGCGATCGCTGAAAAGATTGAAATTGTGAAGATTAGTACATATTTATAAGAAGAAGGAGTGAACTAAATGTGACTTAACTAAGAACTGAACTAGAACTTAACTAGAACTAAACTAGAACTGAACTAGAACTGAACTAGAACTGAACTAGAACTGAACTAGAACTGAACTAGAACTGAACTAGAACTGAACTAGAACTGAACTAGAAGAACTAGAACTGAACTAGAACTGAACTAGAACTGAACTAGAACTGAACTAGAACTGAACTAGAACTGAACTAGAACTGAACTAGAACTGAACTAGAACTGAACTAGAACTGAACTAGAACTGAACTAGAACTGAACTAGAACTGAACTAGAACTGAACTACTAGAACTGAACTAGAACTGAACTAGAACTGAACTAGAACTGAACTAGAACTGAACTAGAACTGAACTAGAACTGAACTAGAACTGAACTAGAACTGAACTAGAACTGAACTAGAACTGAACTAGAACTGAACTAGAACTGAACTAGAACTGAACTAGAACTGAACTAGAACTGAACTAGAACTGAACTAGAACTGAACTAGAACTGAACTAGAACTGAACTAGAACTGAACTAGAACTGAACTAGAACTGAACTAGAACTGAACTAGAACTGAACTAGAACTGAACTAGAACTGAACTAAACTGAACTAGAACTGAACTAGAACTGAACTAGAACTGAACTAGAGAACTGAACTAGAACTGAACTAGAACTGAACTAGAACTGAACTAGAACTGAACTAGAACTGAACTAGAACTGAACTAGAACTGAACTAGAACTAGAACTGAACTAGAACTGAACTAGAACTGAACTAGAACTGAACTAGAACTGAACTAGAACTGAACTAGAACTGAACTAGAACTGAACTAGAACTGAACTAGAACTGAACTAGAACTGAACTAGAACTGAACTAGAACTGAACTAGAACTGAACTAGAACTGAACTAGAACTGAACTAGAACTGAACTAGAACTGAACTAGAACTGAACTAGAACTGAACTAGAACTGAACTAGAACTGAACTAGAACTGAACTAGAACTGAACTAGAACTGAACTAGAACTGAACTAGAACTGAACTAGAACTGAACTAGAACTGAACTAGAACTGAACTAGAACTGAACTAGAACTGAACTAGAACTGAACTAGAACTGAACTAGAACTGAACTAGAACTGAACTAGAACTGAACTGAACTAGAACTGAACTAGAACTGAACTAGAACTGAACTAGAACTGAACTAGAACTGAACTAGAACTGAACTAGAACTGAACTAGAACTGAACTAGAACTGAACTAGAACTGAACTAGAACTGAACTAGAACTGAACTAGAACTGAACTAGAACTGAACTAGAACTGAACTAGAACTGAACTAGAACTGAACTAGAACTGAACTAGAACTGAACTAGAACTGAACTAGAACTGAATTAGAACTGAACTAGAACTGAACTAGAACTGAACTAGAACTGAACTAGAACTGAACTAGAACTAGAACTGAACTAGAACTGAACTAGAACTGAACTAGAACTGAACTAGAACTGAACTAGAACTGAACTAGAACTGAACTAGAACTGAACTAGAACTGAACTAGAACTGAACTAGAACTGAACTAGAACTGAACTAGAACTGAACTAGAACTGAACTAGAATTGAACTAGAACTGAACTAGAACTGAACCAGAACCTAACTAGAACTGAACTAGAACTGAACCAGAACCTAACTAGAACTGAACTAGAACTGAACTAGAACTGAACTAGAACTGAACTAGAACTGAACTAGAACTGAACTAGAACTGAACTAGAACTGAACTAGAACTGAACTAGAACTGAACTAGAACTGAACTAGAACTGAACTAGAACTGAACTAGAACTGAACTAGAACTGAACTAGAACTGAACTAGAACTGAACTAGAACTGAACTAGAACTGAACTAGAACTGAACTAGAACTGAACTAGAACTGAACTAGAACTGAACTAGAACTGAACTAGAACTGAACTAGAACTGAACTAGAACTGAACTAGAACTGAACTAGAACTGAACTAGAACTGAACTAGAACTGAACTAGAACTGAACTAGAACTGAACTAGAACTGAACTAGAACTGAACTAGAACTGAACTAGAACTGAACTAGAACTGAACTAGAACTGAACTAGAACTGAACTAGAACTGAACTAGAACTGAACTAAATTACAGAATTTAACAAATTACTTAATTTTGATAAACTATAAATTCTACATCCAAAAAATATTTTAACTTCACCCACATACTTTAAAACTCACATTTCCAAAAATTGTTAATACTTACACAAACCAATCAACGGCAAATAGTAGTGTTACATCCTGAACCGGTGCATCGATTGCTGTCAAAACCACCAACAAT